CTGCTGAAAGTAACTCGGAGCATACATTCATTTACAGATCTGCACACCAGGTTCCTTAGGGAAAGTGTCTGGCTCCAGGTGGCAGGCTTTCTCCAGGGGCAGTGAACCCGGGGGCACCCTGGTGCAGCTCACAGGCCTGGGTTTGTCCTGTGCACGAGGTATGCTGATCCACCAGCCTGGCTCTTGGGTAATGCCACCACTGAGGTGGAAGATACTGGAGAGGTGTTATCTCAGTAACATAGGGAAGTGCATACTGGAGTTCATGGCTGCAGCCATAAAACACAACATGCTGGAGAGGAACTCTTCATCAGGGACTGTAGCGACAGGACAAGGGGTGATGGGTTCAAACTGAAACAGGGGAAGTTCAGGTTAGATCTAAGGCAGAAGCTCTTCCCTGTGAGGGTGCTGAGGTGCTGGCACAGGGTGCCCAGAGAAGCTGTGGCTGCCCCATCCCTGGCAGTGTTCAAGGCCAGGTTGGACACAGGGGCTTGGAGCAACCTGCTCTAGTGGAAGGTGTCCCTGCCCGTGGCAGGGATTGGAACTTCATGAGCTTAAAGTCCTTTCCAGCCCAAACCATTCTATGATTGTATGAACAGGGAATCCAGAAGAGATGTATGAATGAGAACTTTCAAACAGAAGAGCAGATGTTTTCTATAACTAATACTAGCGAGAAGTAAAAACTTCTCCTTTACTCAATGCTTATTCATTAAAAACAGAACATGCTGACCTTCCCCCATACTGAAAGTTCTTATAGCTTTCCATAGTGAGCAAAACTATGTTTTAATTGGCTTTGGATGATATTGATGATTTATGGATGGCTGATCCTTACTGCCATTTGCAATATTCTGAGAAGAAAATGAATACAGTTGCAAAGCACTGTAGAGCTGCGGTAGGAGAGGTACAGTCCAGCAACACATCTTCCTTTGTAAGGGCTGAACCATGTACAATCTCTGACAAACCTCATTTATTTCTACAGTACAGGCCTTTGGTTTCAAAAGAATGTCAAGGCAACCTTAAATTCTTTCTGGGAATAAAGATTTACTTGAATACACTTTTCAGTCAAGGATATTCTAAAGGAAGTCCTAAATGTGGTTATCAAACACACTTCAGATGGCCAGGGAAATGGAAAGTATTTTTCAGTCAACTTACTTGGAAAATCCAGGTCAGGCTTTACAAGTATCAAAGACTTCCAGAGAAACCTAACTGCTGTTCACTTCCTACGGGAAATTTTTGCTTGTGACATGCTGACCAAAGAACATTCAGATGAAGTTATTAAATCCCCTCAAAGAGCAGTGTACATACTACTAAGTAGGCAAATCATGATCCCTGTTGTAAGCTCAGTAAAGGCGTCTGCCAAGTGTGCATCTGTGGTTAAAAGAATGTCAGCTACCAGGAGTAACTGGTCTCACAGACTCTTTCAATGGATGCAAGTGTGGGAGAAAGGGCTCTGTCATCGTGCCCATAATCACCACCACTAGCTTGGTTGCACAAGCCTAAATACAAGTAAGACCCTACAACAATTTGGGTTCAGGACCTGATCCAGACAAAATTTAACCCAGCAGAAAAAAAAGTGTGTGTGTGTTGGAGAAATGAGTTTTCAGTAAGGAGCAGACTCTCCTTTTGGCCTACTATGGGCAACTGGGACCGGAAACTATGAAATGTCATAATTTGGGTGCCAGCCAGACTTTGTCAGCCTAAGAGGGCAGTATCACAAAATACTAGGACCTGCAAGGAATGAGATGCAGAACTATACAAGAAACATTAGAACTCCTTTAAGGTAACTAAATGATAGAACTTCATTTGGAATAGAAAGTACCAGACTGATCATTCCTTATGAAAGGTGATGCTGCACTAGAAGTGTTTGAGAGGGTGAAGGAGATTATTGACATGTGAAAAGCATTTCTAAACATTAACACTTAAAAGAGTGATGTTTCGGTGGTTTGGTTTTTTTTTTCTCATTTAGAAAAGATTGGAGTTAGACAGACTTGAACACTATAATCATTAGCAGAAAAATGGTAGATGGTGAACTTCCAGTCTTCCTGCATAGTAATTCAAAAGCAAGGGGACAAAGAGGAGAAGTGTTTCAAACCAATCAAAGGAAATACTTTTAACAAAGTGTCTTATTAAACTATGCAACTCTTTTCCACAGGAAGCAATCTGGGACAGCACTTTAAAAAGAGTCATAAAATGACTGGACATTTAGACCTATGACTACTACCACTGATTTGGAAGAGAGACCAAGTCTCATGTCTGCAGACATACATTTATATATCTGATATCCAAAAAAGCTCAATCCTGTAGAAGCATCTATTCCTGAACCTGTCTCCAGAGGCATTTCTTCCATCCTCCTGCGAACCTTTGGTTTCTCTTCATTGCCAAAGTGCAGTGTACTGATCTGTTTCAGTATTTTCATTTGATCTGGTATGTGAACTACATTGCTCCTTATAAAACAAGCAGCAGCATCTTGTGGAAGCCTCTGTCATGCATAGTTACAGAGAAAATTTAGGCAGGGATGACCACAGGAGATCACTGAGACCAATGTCATGCTCAAAGCAAGGCAAGTTTTACAATTAGATGAAGTTGATCAGGGTCTTTTCCAGATGAATTGTAAAAATCCTCAAGGCCAGAGGTTCTACAGCGGCTGAACAATCTGGTCTAAGTGCTGAACCACCCTCATCAGGAAACTATTGTTCACATACAATTGGAACTTCCCTCGTAACATCTTTTGACTGTATCCCATTGTCCTTTTATTGTATACCCCTGAGAAGAGACTGGCTCTGTTCTCTCTGACCCCTGCTAAATGGATGGATACTGAAAGACAACAGTCAGTCCAGAAATGCACTTTGCCTTTCTAAGCTGTGGGGTTTAGACATATTTTACTATTTAGACATATTTTAGTTTTTAGTATTTAGGCATATTTGCAGGTTACAAACTTCAAATTGCAAAACAGCTTTAATGGGATGGAAAAGTAGGCCTACATTGTAGAATCATAGAGTCATAGAATGGTTTAGGGTTGGAAGGGACCTTAAGATCACCTGTTTCCAACCCCTTGCCACAGGCAGGGACACCTCACACTAGAGCAGGTTGCTCCAAGCCCCTGTGTCCAACCTGGCCTTAAACACTGCCAGGGACGGGGCAGCCACAGCTTCTCTGGGAGCCCTGTGCCAGGGCCTCAGCACCCTCACAGGGAAGAGCTTCTGCCTTAGATCTAACCCTGAACTTGCCCTGTTTCAGTGTGAACTGATCACCCTTTGTCCTGTCGCTACGGTCCCTGAATATCTCAGGTATGCCTCATACTTTGGTTTTCAAACCTGCCATCAGCACATTCTCCAAAAAGTTTATGCTTTTAATTCAACCTAATTGTGACCTCTTTAAAATGATGATGAAATTAAATAATCAAGAATTTAATTGGTCAAGAATGTTATATGCAATATAAGATGCTTCTTTGTACAATGTGTATGGGCCATAATCTCAGGGTCACCTAGAAGCTGTACTGTACTACATTCCTGTATCTAGGTTGCAGACTTCTGTCTCTTTCCATAAAAAAAAGCAGGAACCTGAGGATGGCTCTTTCAAGACACTTGAAAAACAGGCTTTCAAGGTGTCTGTGCTTGACAGTTCAACTGCAGGAAAGATATAACTAAAAAGAGGTATTAATCTTTTAAGTTCAGGCAGGGATTTTAATCTTGTGGTTCAGAACTGACAGTTTCTCTTTTCAAGTGTCATAGACTTGAGCTCTGATTACACCCTCCAACAAAAGAAGCTCTTGTTTCATCTGTACTTCATGCTGTTGGTCTATTGTTTCACATTCATTTTGATAAATCATACAAAATGCTACCTTGAAATTAAGTTTTTGTCAATAACAGTGGAAACAATAGCTTTGTAAACAATCTTTTACAAAATTCCATGAGATTTTTACAATGTTCTGTCAACTCAGTAAGATCCCTGGTATTTCTCTCCCATCTGTTTTATTACTACTCTTTACCCTGTTACTATTACATCAGTATTATGACTCTCCTCCTAAAAACGATTAGGTTTTCTCCCAATCCTAATTCTATAGAAAACACTTGACCACATTTTTAATTGAATTATCTAATCTGTTTACATTTGCTTGAATCCAAATGTTAAATCTCTAAGTGAGATCTCTTCAGATGTGAAAGGAATTGGTTACTCACTTGCACTGTGTTAAATACAGCAATTGGCAATAGCGATTGTATGCAGAATTACTCTTTGATAGATTTGGCTCGTTTAACCCTCCAGCTGTAATTTGTGGGATCACAGTCATATCCCTCCCTCCTGCTGCTGACAGCTTGTGGCAATGCTGTGCAGAGTCCTTCACACTCCGTTCTCTTGTCCTGGGCATTATCTAGAGATCTAGATAGCTCAGTGTTGAAACACTGCTCAAACTTTCTCCTGCTTTCTTCCATTTCGAAAAGGACACAAACCAAAAGAGTTTAAAACAGAGACTTCAAAAGCCCTCAGACATGCCCCCGCAAGCTACTGAACTCAGCGACGCAGTACTTCATTCCTTGCAAACAAGGATGTGCTGCACGCTTTGAGTTTACAGAATTTCAAGTGACAAACAGAAAACAAATGAATCATACTTTCCTGAGTGCAGTGAAGCAAGTTCTGACCCAGGGAACTCCTGAGCTTCAGAAAGGTTGAGGGCTGGGAGTGCATTTGGAGAACATGCTACAGTACTTGTTTTCACAGCATTGTTTAAGCATTAACTTTTACCTACTGCTGGTTAAAAAGCTGATCTGACTGAGTGTGGTCATTCTTATGCTTTACCTCAAAGTGAGCCTCACTTCCCTTTCACTGCACCTTTCTACAATTACCTTGTCACCTCCTTACCTGGTCCTGGTTCCAAAATCATGTGTGTGCACTCAAAAAAGGTTGCAGAAAGCTTGGGGGTAAACCAGCATTAATCTCACCCAGTATTTACCTTTACTTCCCTATTCAAACAAGCCTAAGGCTACACAGATGCCTCTCATATCTACTCATCCATCTCTCAGCAAGAGGGCTTCTCTAACAAAAAACACAACAGCTTTTGGGAGGTGGATTTTTATGTCCAAAGAATTGCATGTGTTGGAGGTTTATACAGCTCCATTCTATTGAATTAACAGTCAGCTAGACCCAGGAAAGAAAAAGGAATGAGCATGCAGGCTACTGGTGAAGTGTGCTCTTCAACTGCTTTCTACTACAGATACTTGCTACAAAACAGGGAACAAGATATAGAAGAATTAAGTTCTGTCACTAAGTATATAGACATAATAAACAGGATATTTCAGGACATTCAGATGTTGAACACAGAATTTTCAGCTTATGAATTTACCTTTAGATGTGGAAATGAATTTTACTCTATTCTGTACATTTCCTTAGCTGCTTCTATAGATATGCCACTTTTCTGGCTGGCAGACAAAGCAAGCAGAGCACTAATTTGCCATGTTCTTGCTTCTTAATTCAACTCCGACAACTTGATTTATACCAACATCATCCCTATTTCTCAGAAGAATTAATGTTCTTCAATCAACAGAAACAGAAACTTGCTACCTGCTCCATCCCTGCTCTGTTATCAACACCAAGGCCATTGCAACTATAGAACAAAACATGTAACAACAATGTGGTGATGGAATTGCTTTTTGTTTGTGAGAGGGAATTTTTCTTTCCTTTTTCCCAGAGCTTATCTACAAAGACTAAATTTTCTCCCTAAAATGTTTATTTCTGTATGCTTTTCAGGTAAGAGCGCCTGGGCAAATTATTAAACAGAGAAGAATCATGCCGTCTTGCTTCACTCTGCTGTTAAGATGCTTGGATATATATGGAGGGACAAAATGTTCCTGAACTGTACTTAAACAGGGAATCAACAGAAACAACAGCAGATACATTTTGGATATAATTTTAAGAACTGAAGGCACTCATGTTTTAACTCTATTTTACATGTATTCCTGATACTGAAACAAGCAAATAAATACACCATTTATGGTGAGATTTTGTTGCTTGGGCCCATTAGCTTAAGCGACAAAAGAAGGTCAATATACAACGCCAGTAAATACCCCAGCCCCATTTCCTGAAGTTCTCTCTTCAGCTGCATGTTAGAAGTAGTGCTAAAGGATATAGATCAGGCTTTTTCCATGCACATCAAGCAACTAGCAGTAAAAGCCAGTTTAATCTACTAGGTTTGACTAGCCAAAGCAAAGAATCTCTGTGGCTCAACTGCAGCAGTGTCTCAAAGTTCCATCACTGTTAAAACTGATAGTCTTCATCACTGTAAGACCCTGAGCCCTTAAAATATCTGAAAGAGCAACAGCCTGAAATAGCTGGGAGTGTTCAAGACATGACATCTGTGTTGGGAACATAAATTCATTCAACATCTAGGGCACCATCTCTTTCAACTAGGGAGAGCAGATATCCCATATCTGCCTTTCACTCAAAGGAAAGGTGAAACATTTAAGAGAAAAAATAACAGCAAGTTTTTAACAATTAAGAACAGCAAGAGCAGTAAAGTCATTCTGCTTCCCTCATATGCTCTTTTCTGGTCCAGTTAATGCATACAAGTCTAATTTTCATTATTGCAATGAAAAAAGAATTCATTCTCGACTACTTCAAGTCACATAAGCACAGAATACCTGACCCTCTGTCACATCCGTTTATAAAATACATATTTGTCTCTTTTTGATATAAATCTTCAGCTATCCCTGGCACAAAACTTAGGCTTTAAATGTCTAAATTTCTTCTCATTGCAAAAACCAAAAGGTGCCCTTGTAAGTGTAAATTTTCAACCTGCCAAAAAAACTGTTCCCCTTTTTTCATTCGCAATGAACCTTAAACAAGGCAGAATCACCACAGGAACCAAGAACACAGTAAGTGAGGGGAACTTCACACCCCCATATCTCTTAGCCACACATATGGCCATTCTGTGTACTCCTCAGGTGGGAAGGGCAAAGGGACAGAGAGGGGATTCCCTGCTTTGGTACCCGGTGGCTATCCAGGCACTTAGAACAATGCATTTTAACTGCTAATATGCCCAGTATCTAACAGCAAAGCACATCACTCTTTTTACCAGCATTGCCATATTTCTGTTAGCCTTACTTGTCTCACTTTAGGGCAGGATATAGAAGATATGGACACCAAAACACTGCAAGGATTACAAGCTGTTGAGCCACACCACAGACAGCAGAACAAGAGAGGGGGTTTCCCTGACATAACTGCTTCTCTTATTCCATTTCAAAGGTGAAGTGGCCTTCAATCTGAATACAGAGAAGTGTCAAGTACTCTTGTCAGTTCTTGACTGGTGAGCTGGATGGTCTGGGCAAAATTCAGACTGGTTGGTATGACAAGTTTTAAATAATGGGAAAACTGAGCCAGGGATTTAAATATATATATTTGATAACTATAATTATTTTGTGACTAAAATAATTTGTTCCAGTGAGCCTGGTTTTAAGGAACGTAGGCATTATCAGACAAATTAGATCCAAGGTATTTGAACTCATGAGACATTTGACTTCGTATCACATAGCTTTTTGTTTAAAAAACATGTACCAAAAGCAGCTCTGAGGGACTGTATCCTACAAAGCATTGAGAAACCATAACGGGAATAAGGGATTTACTTATTCTTTATTTCCTGCAATGAATCTCTGAAAGACAAAAAAAGATGGCAAACACAAAAAAGGCTGTTTATGGAAGCAGAGTGGCAGAAAGGAAGGGAAAAGAAGCAGAATCCTCTCTGGCACTGGCAGAAACAGCACTGGAGGACCATGTACAGATCTTTTGCCACATGTTAAAGGGTACACCAGACTGCTGGAAGGGATTTAGAAAAGGCCACAGGGATTATTTACTGTGTAGAAAGTGCCTTATAGAGAAAAGTAGGTTTACAACAGCTCAGTCTGTTTAGTTTAGCAAAGAAGTAAGAGATGGCTTGATTACAGTAGGCAATTATCTTGTGGAGAGAAAGGTGTGAAAGGTCAGACAGATTAGCCTAGGAAGCAGGCCATGTATATACAACAGAAAGGCACAGCTAATCACTAATTACAATGGTATATTCTCCAGTTGTGAGCAATGTTCAGTCAAAATCCAATTCTTTACAGGGGGACACAGTCTGCTCAGAGAAGTTACCTGGTCCAGCAGCAGGTTATGAAGCTGAAAGACATGCTGCAGCCTGAGACACCAGAACATCACCAGGGCAGTGCTGGAGTCACCGTCCCTGCAAGTGTTCACACACCATGTAGAGGAGGCCTTCAGTGCCATGGGTTAGTGGTGGCCTTGGCCGTGCTGGGGTAAGGGTTGGACTGGATGAGCTTAAAGGGCTTTTCCAAGTTGATTCAGTTGATCATTTGGCCTTAAACATTATGACCAGACCCTGCTAATCCCTGAATCCAGGGGAAGCCTGTTCCTGCAAACACAGGACCTCCAGCAGGTAACAGCACCTCTGTCACTGGATGTATTAATTGTTCCCTTTGGTACACCTACAAAATAATTTGCAAGCACTCTTGGAGAAGTTTATAAAACTTGTTTTCTTCTGTTTAAGTTTTACATTTAAAGGAAGAGCACACCCTGCACTACCTGTGGGGAGGGAGATTTTGCCATCACCTTTTAAAACCCAGCTTCATTTCAGCATTAGCATTTAGCATTAGCATTGTATTGCTGGGATAACCCCATGCTCTGAGGAAACCAGGGCAACCGGTGTGCCTGAGCACAGGCCCAGGCAAGGGGAAAACTAACTCTATAACCTGGGAGGTGACTCTGTAGAAGAAACTTGAGTAGACCTGCCATAGCCCTTTACTCTACAGAGCACCTTCTTGGTTATAAGGACAGGCTCCACGGCAGGGACACTCTTACCTCGACTGCCAGGTGGCTCTGACGCCTTCTGAAAGCACTTGCCGGGTTGGAGCTGCTGTTGATGCCTTTTTGCCAGGGCAGAGGTTCTGCATTTGCTTGATGAGAAACAGTGCAAGCAGAAACAATTTTCCTTCTGTAATGTTCAATAAAAAGAGAAGTTATTTGATTGTGAACTTTTAACCTCCACCAGCTCTAGCTTCTCCCCAAATCATTAAGTGCTCTGGAAAGCACCGAGAATCAGGCAGCAGGGTAGGAGATCCCCTGGCAAGGTCCTTCTTTGTGATCTCACTGAGAGGAAGCTTGCTGCCCACCCAACAGCAGCCTCTCCTAAAGTGAGCACTACAAGTTCTATGTATTGATTTAGTGCTCCTGGGTTAAAGGAAAAGGCACTGTGGAAATCTCAGGTCAACTCCTACTGACTTAAAATTTTGACTTCATGCCTAATGGAGAACCTGAGAGGGCAGCCAAGCCATATAGACATTATGGTCCGTATCTGTATCACAAATCCTGGTGAAACCAACAGCCAAGGGGATACCAGGAACCTGTGGAGGAATTTCCAGGGCAGACTACACAGGCACCTAAGTACTGTTGCAAGATGACTCCTCTTTTACTCTCACTCATCCTTCCTGGTTTTATTTCTTCTAAGGGACAACAGGAGAAGGAAAAGCAGCACAGAAACTGCTAAGCCCCTTCTCAAATAGGCCTGGTGCAAGACTGCTCAGAAAAGGCCTAAGGCGAGACATTCCTTACTGGATCACACCAGTGATCCAGCTACCACAGCACATCTCCAGTAGTGGAAGACACTACTTAGGAGAGTATGCAAACCTGGCCACTTTCTTACCATATGTTCCCTGAGGACGGCTCAGCACCATCAGGTCAGGGATGTTAAACCGTCCATTTTTGTCTATTCCTTCTAGTATTTGTTTACAGACTTTTAGTCCATTATTTTTTTCATTCCTCTTTTGAATCAGTTGATACTTTTGTCCTCCACAACCCTTTGCAGCAGCTTCTAGTAGTCCACCACTTACTGTGTAAAGAAGCACTCCCTATTGTTCTTGTTAAGCTTCTCTCCCCTTACCTTACGTGCCCTGCAGTTATGGCATTGCGTGATTTAGCAAACAGCAGCTCTGCATCTGTCATTTGCCATCAGCTGCTCTCACGATTTGGAAAATGTCAGTCACATCCCCTCCTCCAAAATTCTTTCTCCAAACTGGAAAGTCACTGACATTTCCAATTTTCCTGTTTTCCAGTCCTCTTTCTCTGTATCTTTTTAAAACATCCTTCTTGCCCTACACATATCACAGCTATGCCCAGTAGGCAAAATGTGAGTGCACCGAAGTTTTGCACAATGGAAAAATCATACTTTGTGGTTTGTTCACAAGACAGCACTGAGACAGGCCTGACATCATTCTGACTAAATATGCTTGGCACCACCTCCAAGAAATGTATGTCATGGGCCTGTCAAAGCTCTCCTCCTCCTCTGTCTTCAATCTTTTCTTCACCCTCCTACTGCATGCTCACATTCCTCCAAGCCAAGTCCACACTGCTCTCCCATTTTTCTGATACACCTCCACTTTCCAAGCCTCCCTTTCCAACAGCAGATAAGCACAGGAGACCCTGTATGCACCAATCTACTGTGCACAATACACTGCTGAACACGCTGTGAAAACCAGATGGAAGATCTGCACCATTGCCTCACCCTGCAGCAAGCTACCACGAGACATCTGTGTCTGTAGTGCTGCTGGGGGCAATTGCCACCTTTTGTATGATGTAAAGAAACTCTTTTCACATATCCCTCGTTGACCTCATGCGTGCAGTTTGGCAGAGCCAAACTCACCTTCCTGTGCCTGACACAGTGGCTGAGACTAGACACACTTCAACATCCCAGCCACAGTGCCTGCACCTCCCACAGCCCTGCCTTCAGTGCTGAACATCACCAGCCAGAGGAGTCAAAAGCAACACTGCCATCCAGGAGACAGGACGTTAAGGGAGAATGCTATCAAATCCACAACTCCTTCCCTCTCATCTTTGCCTCTGCATGGAAAGACCACCGTTTTCTTTGCCATTAGCACACTGGAGAGAGCGTACAGTGAATAAAAAGCACTAATCAGGGTGGAGCATGTAGGCACCAGCTGTCTATTAAAAGCAAAATTGTCAGGCAAGTGGTTAAGTTTTCCACAGTGAGCAACTTGGGAGGGACATTCCCCTAGGAAACAACCACCACTGATGAGGCTGCATTGATTTTGCCTCTCCCTTTTCTTATTTTCTTTAGGTCACTGCCTGCCTTGCTTGTGCCTTCACAACTAAGGCTTCCCATGACACTTGAATCTGCTGTTGCTAAGGATAATGGTTTTCACTGGTTCCTTCTATATTCCACATATTCCATACAGGAATGTGTATTCTGACAGAATCACTAGGCGGATTTAGTCAAAGAAACCTACTGGTGGCTTTATTTCACAGTAGAAATCTACAAAGCATATTTATCAGGGTCTCACCTGGCTCTTCATGAAGTAACAGAATTTCTGACGTTGATTTGGTAATGATTAAACCCTACCAAAATATTTCAGCTGTCCTAAAACTAACCAGGCTATAACCCCAGGCACTGTCTGAGTAATATGAAAAATAAAATGTTTCACACATGAGCCTTGAGAGCTTAAATTCATTTAAAGGATCAGAAAGGCATAGCCCAGCGACTATGGAATTTCATTGAAGGGACAGGGTTTAGGGCAATACGAGTGAAAAGAGAACATTTTCCAAACATTACTACAAGCAGACAAGTTGTATTAAAAACATTCGCTCTGTAGGTAATACAAAATAAAATATTATCATCTGCTCAGCTCAAGTAATGCTGATTTATATCTTTGACTTAACATTTCCCTGTACAGTTGCAGTAAGACTGCAATTTTACGAAGTGATAGTCAGTTGAACATATTTACAACACAAATGATACACTATGTACAAACCTAGTTCTCCAAGGAACTCTATGTTCAGCATGCTTCAACACAGAAGTGATTTACTCACTTCTAGGATAGGACGCCAGTTTTTCCTTTAATTGAAATACCAAAATACGTATCAAAACAGGAAAACAATCCATTTGCTATCATGTGGTGGTGTTCTTAAGTCATTTTTTTGTTACTGTATTTCACAGAAAAGTGGAACCAGTCACAACAATAAATAACATTGCTTATTATGAACTTAGACTTCTATTCATGGAATCACACTTTCAGCCCAAGTGCTTTTACAAGACTGTAGGATCCATTTATCTTTGCTTTTCTTGACACGTAGATCAAAATTGCAACTGCAGGTACCGCTACTGCTGTCACAGAGGAAAATGCAATAATCAGTGGGATCATTTGATCTGGTTTTGCCAATCTTTCTGAAATTGGAGATAAGAGGAGAAAAAAAAGTTGTGTAAAAACTGACTGAAAGAGACACATATATTCCTGTAAAAGCAGTGTTATTCATGACCTTCATTTGGAACGCTAGTTCTGTTTTCTTGCACAAAGCACATTTCAAACCATTTTCCTTATGCTTTCTTTTTTTACTAGTAACTCCATATTGCACACTTCAAATCCTATTCTTGCTCGACAAATTCAAACTCAGCTGATACCATCTACAACAAAGAATACAATGGATTTCATGAAGAATACATGAGTATCACGTATTTTACCCAGGAAACACTTGGGGACATTTCTACCTCCTGGAAATGATGCTTCAGAAGACCATGTTTAAAATAGCCCAATCTTTAGATCTATTTGTGAAACAGAACTTTCTCTGGATTAGTTTCACTGTTCATGAATGCGGCCATCTCTTTAAAGCTATTGCACAAGTTTGGGTAGGAGAGACAATGCCTTCTACACCAAAAGGAGGTTAAATACAGCTTATTCTCCCCAGCTGCTTGGTGCCGAGTATTTGGTTTGATTTTGGTTTGTTTTGTTTGTTGGGTTTTGGGTGGTTTTTAGGTTAACTGCAGTATTATTGTGCAAGGTTCAGCCATGAGCTAGTTGTGCTAACCTTGACACAAAATTCGTTAGAAAGTATGAACAAAATAAGTTTAAGGCAATAAATCTACCTACCTACAACAGCTATCTCAATCACTGTGATGTTGTTTCCAACCTCATTGAAAACATCAAGCAAATATCTGCCTGTATCATTTTTGGTGACATTGTAAAGTATAAATGTTCCATTCACTGATGGCAGAATGATTTCTTTCTGCTGATGGAGTTTTTTCAGGACCATCTCTGATGGTGGGTTACTATATGCGCTACATGTAATAGTGATGTTTTCTCCTTCTTTCACATTTTCTGATGGATATACTAACACAGTGATATTTTGGGGAGGAACTGAAAAGAAATGCAAGGTAGGATTTAGCAATAAACAGAAGTGAAAAACTCATGAGGTATCAGCAGCTTGTACACACAAAGTACTAATTCACTTTGTGAAGCAATTCACTATAATATTCAAGCATATAACTTTAGACACTACTGTCATTAACTATCCTTCACACACTGCAATCATCAGCTGACAGACATTTTATCAATTAATGGAGTATATTGCATATCTTCTACATTATATGGAGCCTTTTCTTCTTATCACTGTTTATTCATTTGAGTTCATTAAAGGACAAGGACCAACAGCCCCAGAGGTTGATCTCCTCTTTCAACAGAAGAGAAAAGGCTAAGGAAGGAGTTCTAGAATAGTACTTTTTTCAATAGGCTTCACAATTTTACATCCTGTTTTCAAAGGTGAAAGTGGAACTATGAATGATTTTGAAGCAGCATCGATTTTGTGCATTTGCAGTTTTAAACAGCATTTTTTGTTAGCACTAAGGTCCCATCACTGATGACAAGAATCTGAGTAACTGCAACTCATCTCAGGGTTTAAAATCCAATTCATTCTTAATGGAATTGAAGAATTTGCCATCTTCTGTTTCAAGGGTTGTGATCCCATCACCTATTTTATTTCATGGAGTACTCTGAACAGAGTTAACATCCACAAATGTGCAACAGATGGTAACACTTTCACCTTGTATCACTGCACTTCAAGGGAAAACTGAAAGTGTATCTTTTGGTGTAGCTACAAAAATAGTAAAGAATAAGGAAGAGAGATGGACTAGTGGCAGAAACGATCTCTAAGCAATATGCTGCTGCCGTGCAATAAACAGAAGCAGCAGGGCTAAAGCAGAGAAATCCGCTTACTGCTGAAAATGAGACTTGGCTATCAGGGCAATTGGTATTTGGTGTGGCTTAAATGCAGCTTGCAAGAACAGGAGAGAATTGTAACTTAAAGGAGAGCCACAGGGCTGTAATACAGGCCCTCCACAGAGAGGTTCACCACGTACACTCTCTCTGAATCTTTTGCATGGAGGTATCTGGATGCTCCTGTGACCTATACAGAAGAACATACAGGCATTGCATATCTTCTCTGCCTTATGCATACATCTGCCACTTTGTAGGGATGCAAACTCATCTGACATGAGACCCTTGTATTAAGGCTAAATGTATCGAGGCAGATTTCACCCGTTACTTAAAGCTTCCTAAATGACTTAATGACATCAAGGCCACCTTTGAATTCCATTGACATCAAAGACAGAATTCCCCTGTCCTTCATAGAATAAGATCTGGACCTAAAATACATAAACTAGAAAACTCATGTTCCAGCTTATTCTACTAACCTTGAACAAGCAATTTCACATCCTTTTCTTCTTTGCCAAATTGGTTATAAGCTTCACATTCATAAAGCCCCAGATCTTGACTTTTTATGTTCTTTATGGTTAAAGTTGCATCTGTACAGATTTTCTCAGGCTCCCCAGTAGTCTTCTTTTTCTTCCAAGAAATCACTGGAGCTGGATTGCCAGAACTAGTACACTTCATTATCACAGTTTCACCTTCTTTAACAGCAGTGGCAGGAATAACAGAGATCATTGTATTCTTTGGTCCATCTGGAAGGAAGAACCCTGTGGTTAATCATCACTGGATTTTTTAGAGGTGGATATAGCATGTCCTATGGGATGTCGGGTTTTTGGCCTCCCAGTTAATTTCTTTCTCATTCTCAAAATAAGTAAAGCATACACTGCCAGAGCTACCACACTCTTGGTTTATAGCCTAAACCAAGAATGTTAAGAAGGAAGATCAGTTTCATGCTCATCCAGATCCTGATTACATGAGGATTAAGACTGGCATTACATTAAGGATTTCATGTCTTTGTTTCGCTCATCAGCACCACTCCTTTCTTTGGGGAAGAGCAGACAACTAGGCTGGGTTTATTGTACTCACAGGGTGGTGTTTCATTTTATTGGCACATTTATCACTGAAGTAAGTTGAGCATAAACTGATTATTTTTAAATGACTGGGAAAACATTACATGTACTTACATTGCACATTAAGTGTTACTTCACTTCTACTTTTCCCAAACTTATTTTCTGCTACACATTCATAGTCTCCTCCATTTAGGAGCGTCACAGATGGAAGGAGAATTCTCCCCTCACTGTAAGGCCCCATGTCTGCACTGTCAGATTTTCTCCTTAAAATAATCCTTGGAGAAGGATTACCCTCAGCAGAACATCGTATGGAAACATTTTCTCCTTCTCGAACTGTGGTAGAAGGTTCAATGGAGAGTTCTGTAATGTCTGGAGCACCTGCATGACAAAAGAAAATGCTTTTATACTAATGCAAAAGTACTAAAGATGGGGAGGGGTTTAAGAAAGCAGGAACTGTTTGCCCAAGGATCTGCTTATTTGGGTTTGGTCCCAGGCTCCATCTGAGAATTTTGGCTCTACTGAAAAAGTATCAATAATAATACTAATAGTACCAGTAATACCAATAATACAATACTAACACTGATACTGATACCAATACTAATAATGTCCCAAATTGATTTACTATTAAATAACTACTAAATTTGCTACTAATGACTAAAACTACAAGTTCAAAGAAAGAGACCATGATGTCCCTGTGAAACTGCTATATACATTAGCAAAGAACAGTATACCCCACATCACCACTTTCTCAGATTCTTTTATCACTTTGAGTATTGCACTGTAGGAAGTGAAAGTAGTATGTCTGTACAACAGCAGCACAGAAAGTATTAGTTGAAAATGAAGCATAGAAATGAAAAGCATAGCCTATGAAGAGCAGCAGTACATTGAAAGCTAACTCCTGAATACATCACAAGGAATGCCCCAGTCATGTCCTAATTTTCAGTGTTTCAGCATCCTCCAACCCAACAGACAGCTGGGTACTAGGTAATACAGGTTTAATTCAAGCAGACTTGTACCTTGTATAACTAAGTCCACAGTTGCTTTCTCTGTTTTATTTGTTACCAGATTAGTCACTTCACAGATGTACAGTCCTGAGTTATTGAAATGGGCATCAGGAATAGAAAGGACACTGTTTTTTGTCAGAAGCTGAATGCTTTCATCAGCCAGATGTTTTCTCCAAACTATCTGTGCTGGTGGATTACTCTCAGTCACACAAGTGAGGTTCAGAGTGTCTCCCTTCATTGGCCAGTTGCCTGGAGATGCAGTAATGACAGTATTTTGCGGGCCAACTGGAAGAGAACAAAAGAGAGAAGGTCAGTAAGTGAACGAAGAATGGCATGTACATCTTTTACACTAGCTTCTCTGGAGGTACACTGCACACAATACCAAGAATACATGAATCATATTTATTCCAGTAACACAGTGGAACAGTTTTTCCAGGCTTGGTAAGACCTTTAGCTTTCAGTTTTGAAAGCTAAGCTAGACCAAATGTATACAAATTATTATTAGTTTTTTATTCCTCCATTTGTCCCATTGTTCAGGACTATAAACTTGTAACTTCTAAGCATAATATGGCAATTTTAATAACATGCATCTGCCAGTTTTCTTCTGGCCACCGCTTTCTGAATGAACACCAGTGCCCAACGTAAGCATTGCCTAACTTCTGTCATGAACAACAGTGGTTATTTAATGACTCAGTGACTGTTACTGTATACAACAGAATTGAACGTATGTCATAAATAAGCGCAGATTATAAATTTTTTATAGCACACACTTTGGAAACCCAATCCATGAAATTTAACATTAAACAGGAATTGGTGTGAAAAGCCTAGAATGAAAATGCTTACAGTTTGCAGTCAGTTTCTCAGAAGTTACTCTTTCTTTGGGTTCAAAGTCCATATTAGGAATTGGTAACTTCGCCACACAGGTAATCTCTTTCCCTATATCTTCAGCTGTGGGATTAAATGAATATGTGACAGTTTTGTTCTCTGTATTTGTGCTTTCATCTTCATAAAAGTTTTTCTCATGAAGAACATGATCCTCTTTCTTTAGGAGTACTTCCAGGTAATGAGAAGGATACACATCCAGAATTTTACAGGTGACAGTGACTGGCTCTGCAGCAGCTAAAGATGGGCTGATCTCAATGACAGGATCTCTGGGAAAAGCTAAAAGAATAAAATCCATTTCTTTAGTCTAGCAGAGATGAGCTCTAGGGTCAACACAAGAGCAACATCCAGACACCAAACATCTTGAGTTTAGAGACATTCAGAACATGACACTGCACCAACTTTATTATCAGACATTATTCATATCTTCATATGAAGGCACAGAGGTCTTTTATAAGCAATTCATACACTAACAGGAATTATACTTGTACCATTGTTGAAATATGATCACAAATGATCTAATAAAATCTAGCAAGGCACCTAGACAGTGGTACAGCTGACTAAATACAGGCATCCAGAGCAATCCATACACCGGGGCTATCTTGTTTTCTGTGTATTTTAGGCAACAGAACCATTCCCCTGCAGACTGCAAACGCTTTGATTCTTTATTGTTTTCCAGCTCTACAAATATTTAGATCAGTACACACAACCTTCAGAGCAGAAAGCTAAGCAGAAAGGGGCTGAGAAAGCATCCTGAAGAGACAGATAAAGGAATCTTACAAGGAATACATGTTGAACTATAGCAGACCCATTATCCCAGCATTATTAGTTAACTACCAACCACCATACCTAAAACCACTTCTTGATTTGGCACAAATGTGTACTGCTTAAAGAGAATTTTACATTTTTACTTACAGTAAATTTCAACTTTGACACTCTTCTCTTTTTTCTCTTTCTCACCACAGAAGACAGTACACAGATAGTCATGAGAATTCACAGTGCTAACCGGATTCATAGTCAAGGTAGAGTATGTCCTATAATTATTCACTGTTCCTCCAAGGGGGTTGTCCATCTGGGTTCTCCAGGAAAATCTTGGCGATGCACAGCCAGTAGTATTGCAGGTGAGTTTGAGTGTTTCTCCAATCTGTTTAACAATTCTGTTAGCAGGTATAATCTCCATTTCAAAAGCTTTAACTGCAATAGAGAGAACAGACATGAACTCAGCAGCAGGTGGAGGTTAAACTAACAAAACTTATGCAGCGGTTTACATCTCCAAAATTTCCCGTAAACACTGTTATTTTTGTCAAAGATAACAGAGACTTTAACAGGCAGTTCTCATGTATAAAATAGTGTAAACCCAACTCTGTCAGTGAAAATAAATGCATTGGCACAATATAACATTTTTTGTCAAGTGGATCTGGTTCCAAACCTGTAACATTTGAGGTAAGGAGTGGCAAGTAAGATAGCAAGGACAACTGCAGAGTAACTTTCAACAGGACATTCAGTACCAAACTTGACTGACGCTGTCAGGTATGACAGTAAAAATCAAACACACACTGATATACTGCAGTTGTCTCCTAGACAGTCTTTTAGCAAACTCAGTAAGAAAATGACTGTGTCATTACAGAGCACAGATAAAGCTGACTGAAAATGTCAAAAAAAGCTTCCTGACATTTTGACAGAACTACTTAATTGCCAGTTGTGTTCACTGAGATGGAAAAGTAACTGGAACAAAGAGAAATAAAGATCTAACAGTAAACCGTAGGTCAGTTTACACCTAATAAAGTCAAAACCAAATAAAGTCAAATAACACACACCAACTTACCGGTCATGAACACATACAAAATTATTAGCACAGCTTGGCTTGTTCTTCCCATCTCTTTTAACATTCGTAATTGCTGTTACTAGGTGAAGAAAGTAAATTCAAAAGCTTTGGTTTCTGTTCTCCGTGGAGAAGCACAGTGAGATCCTGCCCTCCCGCACCAGTTTACGAGCATAGCTCCAGCGTGCTCTTTATAGAGGCTCTGGTCGAGGTGGAGTGGGAAATCCCCGGACGGGGGAATTCGGAGCAGGCCGGATCCACGCCGGGCGGCGCCCTCTGCTGCTCTCTGCAGTGAGCTATTGGAAGCCAGGAAAGCAAGGAGTACTAACACTTCCCATTGTGCACAAAAAGGGCAAGATCCGATCCTGCAAACAACTGATAAAATGAAAGAATGGGGGTAATTCCAAGCAACCGAATGGCTCTATATCTCAGATGGAAAAGTTGTTCAAGTTTGCTTTCAGTGTAAATATTTTTGTAGGAGTGAGTCTTGAGAATACTTCTAACAATACTCAGTTCTGTATAACGTTACCCAGCTCAGTATTCCCCTTGAAAACTGCACTACCAGTTCAAGAGATGATGTTACTCCCATTCCTAAGTGTAAAAATGAAGAAATAAGTCAGATAACAGAAGTCTGGAGCTCCAACTCAATCAGCTTGATTCAGGTTCATTTTTTTGGGATTAACTGAGTGAACTAATCTTCCCAATTCCGCTTTAAAAATGCCTCTAAAATGTCCATCTTTCAAGATGCTACTTGTATGCATTACATCACTGATATGCCTCTCAGTTCTCTTATGTCCTGTTTATGTACAACTGAAGAATACCAGTTTATAGTACAACTCTGGGATTATTTTCAGTGTTTGGTTTTCAGTGGGTATGTGAATCAATACTGGAATCTTTCTGAGGGCAACTATTACTGGCTAATATAGCAACAGTGTTATGAATAAAGTAAAGTTACATTTTCAATGTTTAATTTTCAATTGGGAAATGCTATGAACACAAAGAACAGATGAAGGTTTCCAGATCTCAACTGTTTATTTATTCAACTGCTTGAGTAATTTGTATTGGTCAGTTATGAATCCCTGAATAAAAGCAGCAAGAGATTCCAAACTAAGCATATATGTTATTTTAAAATGTCTCTGGGAAATTGTTTGGTAGGTACTAGTTTGGTCATTTGATGCCTGTGAAATATTGTTCTCATATAGTATCTTTTATAAACAGCACAGATTTAATGTCTAATAAATGAGTAATAACTTGAAAAAATAAAAGCTGAAGTAACAATGCTGTAGATGCTAAAGAAATCTCATTGCTGAAACTTGGCACCACATTAACATGATGCTTTTTGAGTCAAGCAGATTTTACATTTAATAACCTAATGCTAGCCACAAAACACCATGTTCAGGTGGGAGTAGCATGAGAGGATGTAAAGCTTCTGCTGGCCTAGAGTCAGTGTGTCTTCTTCTATTTTTTAATGCTTTTCCCTGGCAGCATCTGCCCCTACATTTGCATCCTTACCAAAGGGCAGCTGGACAGTACAAGCTGCTACAGAAACGCATGAGGTTAAGAGAAGCAGCATCAACCACTTGTTCATATACTTCTCAGAAACTCATAAATTTAAAAGGGATGTAATGACTGTAGGAAGATACAAACTGTGCTCTTAGGCAGAAAGCATGTCTTCAAAATAATAACGATTTGTAAGAACAGCAGTGTTCAGAAAGATGAAAAAATAAACAAGACAAGCCAAGAATTACCCAGAAGACAATAAACCAGAGCCATCTGAAGCACCTAGCAATGCCTTACCAAAAGTCTCTAAAGTTGACGTTCACTGGAACTTCCAGTGGACTCTCCCATAATATATTATTTCTGTTATCTTTATCATTGTTTTTATTAGAGGAGGGGGGGGGGGAATTAAAAACAATGTCGAAGTGTCAGGAAATGTACTGCTATCAAATCCAGAAATCCAAAATCTATCCGGAGGAGGTAACAACATCTACAGAGTTATTTCTCTTCCCTGGAATGGCTTTTGGTGAAGAAGAATGTACTGTCTTAGTTAAGTTGCGAATACAGACTCTTTAACCACGGGCAGGCAGAAGCGAGAAACGAAACTCTTCTGCCTGACTGCTGGATAATCATAGGCTAAGCTGAATGGGAAAAGGCAAAATTTCCCTGTTTCTGGGAAATCAGTTTCTAGACACAAAAAGATATAAATATAGGAGGCCATATCCGCATGCTGGAAAAACTGTAATCAAGCCCTTCATCAGATAACAGGAAAAAACTCTGAGCCAGCTCTCAGTAAAACTAAACTGGGCAGCTGCCATTAACTTTACTGGAGTTGGATCCTTACCAGAGGGACTATGACACTGAGTGACAGACAAATTTAACTCAGACACTACAGGTGAGAGCAGGGTTAGCCAAGAAATATCATTAAAGGAAGTACAGATCTGACAAAGAAATGAAACAAATTTCTTAAAACTTATTCTTTACCCAACTTCAAATGTGAGCCTTCTGTGCATTTTAAACAGAACATATGCTTTACTGTTGCTCCTACTATCCTCTGCATCAGCTTGCAAACAGAATGGCTATCAAGCTTGCTTATTTCCAGAACAGGCTGTCCTGTCTAGGGATCAGCAGTTGACCTCAAGAATTCACACAATCAAGCTTTTTATTCAAATTGCACAAAGGAGGACGCTGGGGATAAGCCCAGAGGATGCACCTAGATTCACAGTGAGATCAAGTGTCATAGAATCAACTGGAAGAAAAACCTGAGACATGCAGAGCATAATGAAGACTGGAATGTAACGTATTACAAAAATATCTCTAAAGGCAAAAGAGATTAAAAGAATAAAGCACTGGGATGTAAATATGTTTTTTAATACATCTAGTAATCAAAAGAGTCTTTTCTCAGGCTTTATTGGACAAATAAAGAGAAGACAATTGTGTCTCAGAAGGGAGTTGGAAATACTGAACACGTCATTTTTGGCCTGGCATCAGAAAGTACAAATGTCCTTCAGGAAACTGAAACTTACTTCAGACTTTTTTTGGAATGTAACAACAGAAACCCATTTCAGAATTGTGTTTAGCTTTTCCTTTAATTCATACTTCTTCAACCGTGCTAAATACCTATATGATGAACTTCACTTAATTTCCTCTAGCCAAGAGATAAAAACTCTCTCTGACCAAAATGTAACATGTTCATTATCCAGCATTTCTAAACCTCTTCTTAACTATTCTACGATTTTATGATTTTTAATGTACTGCACTGTCTCAGGGAGGCTATGAGAGGAAGCTGAAAGGCTAACCCTCACGCAGAATTTGGTCTCTTCAAACCTGCGCCACTGGTTTTGTGATTTATGGCCTATGGAGAAGAGGTCAGCAATAAAATACTTCATGGCACTCCATCCCAATAGCTGTAATCTAGAGCCAACACTTTGGATTTCTGCTAAAAACATCCAGTGTTGGAATAATAACTTCTATACAGGGCCCTAACACAGAAACACATGCAACATGTTCACTGTTAAGCATCTTTGTCCCATGAGCTTGAGAGGGCAGAATCCTTCAGTGGAGGGCCTGGCATTCAGGTGAGAAGATGCAGCTAAGTCTGACTCAACAACTCTTCAGCCTCAGATCATAGAGGTATTACAGCAAGTTCATGCTTAGGTCCCCCATTCAAACAGCAGCCCTCACCCATCTCACAAAAGATCTCCTTGGGATGCGCACTGGATGTCTGAGTATGAGAAAGCCTCTCACAGAGTTTCTGATGCCTTATGGAAGCAGCTGGGATGAAGAGCTTTCAAACTATGCAAAGAGTGTCTGATACCTCCACAGTATGATCATGCCTAAAGAATAAAAGCAAGAGGAATGTGCTGTAACTCAAATGAGAACTACTCTTGCAGGGAAAAACATATCTGCATCAACAAGGAAAGAATTCCCTTCAGGCACCACATCCAAGGGAACACCTTTAGTATGGTCATATCATATGATCAAGTAACTGAAAAACCATGTACCTGGAGGGTATGTATGAGTACTGCTGACTATATGGCTTACACAGCAGATAATGATCTGACAGATGCCAAATCTTTAATTCTCAGCACCTCAGTAGCCTGCTATATGGGTCATATTCTGTCTTGCCTTTCCCAGTGCCTACTGACTTTTTGGTTCCCAAAGCTTTCCTGACCCTTTGGTTTCCTTAACTCCCTCCACCTTCTTTCTCATCACCTGACAATAACACAACATCTGTATAGCCCCCAAAAGGGGGAGGAGAGCATCACTGACTCCCTATAATTTTCATCTCCAGATGGGAAAGATGAGCTCTACCTGCAGATCTATTTAAAGGGTTGTGTCTGTTTCAGGAATTGTAACTTTGTTCCCAGCTACAAAAAGAACACCAACGCATTACCCTGTAACTCACATCACACCTTACAATTGTACTCCACATCTAACTTGTCATCTACTGAAAAAAAGGGAAAAAAGAAGCAACTTAAGAAAGTTTTATCATCTGCTTCTTTCCCTTTTCAGGAATTTCTGAAATACTGAATATAAAAATAAATACATCTACTTCCTTCATGATTTTTCTCAGGCACCAGCTCCTATGACACTTCCTGTCTGGTGGGTCTGCAGGCATCCAGAATCCACAAAAGATGTCAGATAAAACAATACTGAAGTATGATAAGTGGCACAGACTACAAAATAGCTAATTCCTTGTGGTTTTTTTTCTATTCAGAGGCATTGCCTATTTCACTTCACAGAAAGGAATGAATAAAAGCCATTAGAGAAAAAAGTCCCTACTTTTTATCTTAGTCTCTTGTTGCTGGCAAAAAAACAAGCTCTGGAAATTCCAAATCTTATTTCTAAAAAAAAAAAAAAAGTGTTATTTTAGCGATGCTGGGTATAAAAGTGAACAGCCTTTTAATTCACATACCTACAGTAGTTCCAAGTACCGTACTGTGAGTCAGACTTCTTTAGGTTGGGTAGCTGAGCTTCTACTGTTTTCACATTGACAAAAGTTTCCCTTTTGAAACATCCTCCAGTGTATATTAAGAGCCAGATTCAAATACAAGTATTCAAAATCTGTTTGGGAATTTTGAAATGAGAGCTCAGATCTGCTTTTATTTTGAACCAAATATCTTGAAACACATCAAAGTCATTTTTCCTCACTGGAATTACAGCTTCTTAGACAAAACTCCTTCAAAATGGTCAGAGAAAAGAAATAATGTGAGCTTTGGGTCAAAGCACAGATGCTGATTAGGACCTGGGATACAGCAAGATTAAGTCAACTGAAAACATTTACCAATGAACATGAACAAGTTTCTTGATTCGCCCAACACTCTACATGAAATTTCCATACCACTAAATATTTCTGTACCCCTCGTTAAGACTAGCATTTCACATCATCAGATGAAGGTAATCAAGAAAAGGATGTAGATTTTTTTTACCAAGCTCTGTTATTACTCATCAGCATCTGCTCTCCAAGGCACTTAGAGATCCTTGATTATGGGAAAATGGAGATCAGCCACCTCCCTGTTTCGCACCTCCTTCCTGTTCTTCAGTCGTGAGGTACATGCATGTCCCTATGGACACAGAAAGACAAAGTGAAATGATGACAGCAAGGTGTGTAACATACCATTCCAGCTGGAACAAATGCAGAACTTGGATTCCCCTAAACAAACTACTGCTAACTGCACTGATACCAATTGATCATCCTTCAACTTGTCAATCACTGACTATATTCTTTATTCTCTTACAATGGTTCCTATTCTGAAGAGCTGTGTTCAGCTGTATAGATGTCATTTTTGCTGTGCTGCATGATATCAACGCAATCTTTGTAGTCCCACAGACTGGCTCACTAACAGGTAGAAATATTACACAGGTATCAGAAAGGAATTAAATCACTGTATGATTAAAGAATCATAATTTTAAAATCTTCCATGTGGGTGAGGATTACAGGGATTGCTCAATTTCTATTTTTTCTTTAATTTTGGGGGGGTTAAAACACATAAGGAAATTTTTCTTTTAGATAGATATTGTCAGTTTTCAGTCTCTGGAAGCAGACTGAAAGTTCTAAAGAAAATGACCCTTCAAACAGAAAAGAAGGCATGAACTGATTTTTACTTCCACCAAGCCAAAATGACAAGTACCCAGGAGAAAGCATTTTGCAGTAGCAAAATATGTGTGTTTGTGTGCCTGTACATATAATAGCAAAGTAAGTAACACTTCAAGCCAGCTGCAAGTCTGTTTAGGATCTGGCACCTTTTGTTTTCTTTGGAATGTGCTCTTCCCTAAATCAACAACATGCTGTTTTGTTACTTGGACTATTTCTCTCTTCCATGTGTTCCTCACAAAGTATCATCTTAACTACTTGCTTTGTTAACACTTTGACGGCAGGAATATACTACTATAGGAGTAGCTAAGTGATAAAACCCATGAATTTTTCTAGACAAGCAAGGGTAAGAAAGATGTGAGTTGCTGGGATTGATTTCCCTCTTCAAGACGATTACTTGGCTAGGCATCAAAGGCCTAGTCCTTGTTGTCTGATAGAGACAGCTGATGAAGAATGACTCTCATAGCTGTGTTACCCTTTATCATAGCCCATGTTACCCTCTAGTGATAAGAGAGGCAACCTGAAAAATGTGACGCGTGTTTGCAATTGCTGTCAGGCAGGACAAAGATCTGTGTTGAATTACTTTAAGAAACATCTGACTTTCACCATTCCCATGATTCTTAGACAAGGATCCCCCCAGAAATTGCCCAGAATGATATGTAAATACCAATTCACGAGGAACAGATGGTTTAATGAGCCTTTAGGTTGCAAAATTTTGCCTCCATTCATTTCATTTCTGACTATAATTAGAACCACATTAATGATCACTAGTACCACATCATTAGTACCTCTCTTCCAACAGCTCAGCTACAGACAGTTGCTCTACCCACATAGTTCTCTGGCTGAGGGTTTCTCCCTGCTGAGTGGAATCAGTACTGACTGGGTCACACGACCATGTGAAAGCAGCTACTATGAGGGCTTTCACTTGGAAGCCTGGTCATCGTAATGGGAAACAAAACATTTCTGTGCAGCACACACGACACATAAATGCTGCATATGCGGTGTTGAATCCTTTTGTGGATCAAGGACAAAATCCAGTTAAGTTCTGAGGTAGGTTCATGAGCTTGAAATCAATCTTACCTCTGTCATGGCTTTCTGTATTCAGGATATCAAGTAGCATGGTGACGTGGTATCTGCAAGACCATCAGGCGCAGGAATTTCAAGGGCGAATACAGTAAGATTTCAAGCAAATTATCTCACAATCAGTTTGCTAGATTATTTGAATGAATACAATACTATTATCTCACACAGAAGATAAATACTCTCTAAGATTTCTGTATTATTGATTTAAAGTGATACAGAACTATTGACCTTTAAATGATTTATTCTTACATTTTATGACACTGATTTATCTGCTATGGTGCCAAGATCCAGGTGGTGATTTTGTTTTTCTTGCACTTTCAGGTTTCTTGTGCCACGACTGTATTGAATTCTGTGGTATGAAGAGATGCTCATTCCACCTGTAAGGTCAGCATATGGATCCTGCTGTAGTTTATGGCTTCAGAAAATATGTTTGTACACTGTAAATATATTGTATGAACAAATTAGGATCTCAGACAATTTAAGAACAATTGTTTCTCTTTATCCTGCGTATTGTATTTATTAATTGAAAAGGCTTTTTTTAAATTTATTTTGATATGCAATTTATTAATTGGAAAATTAAGGTTAGAAAGTAAGCAGTGTGTTTAAAAACCCATAGCTTCCCAATGGAAATTAATCTGCACTATTTAGTAGTGCTTATTAGATCATCATATTATTATTTTAATACAAGTAACCACACTGCTTTCTAAGTTATCAAAAAGGTTGGACAGTACACTTAAGAAAGACGACTAGTCTGAAGATGTAGGTTATTTTAAAGATGCATGAATGACGAGTTGGCAATTTTGTATAACATTCTGTGTGAAGTTAGTTTCATTTTTGTGAATTATCTGTAAACTTACCTTGATTTTTTATTTTCTTACTCTTCTTTATCAAATTTGATGTTTCAATGAATGTATTCCATACTATGGTATTGGTCTATTTTCATCAGGATTTGTGTTGTACAACATGGCATTTAAGACTCACTTTATCCTTCCAATCTGTCTTTATTAGCCCAAAACTCAGACAACCAAGTTTAGTTGCTTTGACTAACAGACACAGTTATCTACTGGACTTGACTGTGAACAGCACTTTCCGGGCACCCAGCAAACCTCTATGAATAACTGGAAATCCTGGCAGGATCTAATTAAATGAACTAGGACATAAAGCCAAGCAAGATGTTACTTGTAATTTCTTGGTAATCTCATAATAATCAAGTTCTGTCCACTGTAAAAATGACATAGCTACTCTTTAAGGTCACTGAAGGTGAAACACATTGGAACCCTAACTTAATATGTCAGAGAGACCTTCCAGTTTTATCTTGTCTGTAATTGCTTGCTGCGTCTTAAAAGAGAAATGTCTACATTATTCAGAGAGCTCCCTCAAGTACATGGAATGTCAAGAGCCTGGAGTGAAAGTGAGTAGAGCCTGCATTGTCACATCAGGGTTTACAACACACAGAAGTGTTCAGAAATAGTAAGAGCAGCTTTCTGCTTCCCAACTGAACACACAGTTCAGTTCTCAGGAGCCCAAGGAAGCTTTAAAGTCTTGCTGTTAAAGAGGAATGAAGTCTACCCTTCCTGCCAATGTTATAGTGCTTTACATAGAGATAAGTTACACAGTCTCTTCTATGAGCAGTTTACCACCCAACTGGGAAATTTGCTACTCAGTCTATGCATAAATGCCAGCTACTGCCATGAACTTCAAAAAATTTCCAGGATCCACACAGTGAGAGGCAATTTGAAAGAACAGTGAAAAAAATCTTATAAACACTGTAAGTTCTTTTTACTTACAACCTTCCCTGACAAATCCCAGCTTCTGTTCAGAAATCACAGTTGCTCCAGAACCACAATAAATAATGCAAATAGAAAAAAGAACAAAAAACAGAAGAAAAAAAAAGGAAAACAGGAAATAGATATTAAGGAAAAAGCTCTTCTGGAAACATCAATAAACAGTCTTAAGTATTTCATCCATTTTAGGAAAAATATTTTGTCTTCTCAAGTAGAAGTAGTTCAAATGCCGGGACGAATGGTGCCCCACGTGCAGTTCAGATAAAAGAATGTATTATAGAGAATATTCTTATTCCCTTATTCTTGTTTTCATGCATTATAAAACACATGATATGTTTTGGGTTAGAGCTTCCTTTTTTTTAATCTTCTTTTTTATCTTCTTACACCCAAAGAAACTTCTTTCATCCATAAATTCTGCTGCTGCTCTTTCTCCCTTACATTTAGAACTATTTTCTTGTGACCTTCTCCATCATATATTAAAAAAAATGCAAATCTACATCAAAACTTTTGACATAAAGGTCTGCTTTTGGAGGAGAAAGTTTTTACAGTTAATTCAGTATTCTCCTGAATCTTTGTAAGAATCATGGAAAGGAGATAGAGATGGCATTATCTACACTCTGACCATCACTGAGGTTTTGGTTTATCAAACTTAGATTTTTTATCAGAATATATAAACAGCTGCAGTGGATCAGTCCAAATTTTACTGAGCCAGAATCCCATCTCTGACACTGGCTAAAAGCAGAGGGAAAGATAAAAGCTTGATAATGGGGGAAGCACATGTGATCCAGTTACTACACAGGGCTTACAGACAGATGGTCTCTATGCATGTAGTCTGTGCTTTTGAGAGCATAATTCAATATAAGAAAAATCCTATAAGCAAGGGGAAAGAAATGTGAGAAATGTCTAAGAGATCAGGCAATCAAAGCAGCCCGTGAAAATCTTATCTTAAACAGTGCAGAAAAATAGAAATTAATAGTACTACTATTAATAGTAGCACTATTACTATTAATAGTACTACTAGTCTCACCTCTGTGCCTGGCAAAATCTTGGAGCAGATTCTCCTGGAAGGCATGTTAAGGCAAGAACAATAGGGTGCCTGGTGACAGCCAGCATGGCTTCACTAAGGGGAAATCTTGCCTGACTAATCTGGTGGCCTTCTGTGATGGGGCTATGGAACTGATGGATAGGGTTAGAGCAGCTGATGTCATCTACCTGGACTTGTGCAAAGCGTTCAACACTGTCCCACAAGGCATCCTTGTCTCTAAGTTGGAGAGACATCAATTTGATAGGTGGACCACTTGGTGGCTAAAGAACTGGCTGGATGGCCACACGCAAAGAGTTGTGGTCAATGGCTCAATGTCCAGCTGGAGACCAGTAACAAGTGGCTTTCCTCAGGGGTCAGCGTTGGGACCGGTCTTGTTTAACATCTTTGCCAGTGACATGGAAGTGGGATTGAGTGCGCCCTCAGCACGTTTGCTGATGACACCAAGCTGTGTGGTTTGGTTGATACCCTGGAGGGAAGGAATGCCATCCAGAGGGACCTTGACATGTTTGTGAGCTGGGCTGATGCCAACCTTATGAAGTTTAACCATGCCAAGTGCAAGGTCCTACACCTGGGACAGAGCAATCCCAGGCACAGCTACAGGTTGGACAGAGAAGAGATCCAGAGCAGCCCTGTGGAGAAGGACTTGGGGGTGTTGGTTGATGAGAAGATGAACATGAGCCGGCTTCAGTGTGCACTCGCAGCCCAGAAAGCCAACCGTATCCTGGGCTGCATCAAAAGGAGCGTGACCAGCAGGTCGAAGGAGGTGATCCTTCCCCTTTACTCCACTCTCATGAGACCTCACTTGGAGTGTTGTGTGCAGTTCTGGTGTGCTCAACACAAAAAGGACATGGAACTGCTGGAACAAGTCCAGAGAAGGGCCATGAGGAGGATGAGGGGACTGGAGCACCTCCCGCATGAAGATAGGCTGAGAAAGTTTGGGCTGTTCAGCCTGGAGAAGAGAAGGCTGCGTGGAGACCTCATAGCAGCCTTCCAGTATCTGAAGGGGGCCTATAAGGATGCTGGGGATGGACTCTTCATTAGGGACTGTAGTGATAGGACAAGGGGTAACAGGTTCAAACTTAAACAGGGGAAGTTTAGATTGGATATAAGGAAGAAGTTCTTTGCTGTAAGGATGGTGAGGCACTGGAATGGGTTGCCCAAGTTGTGAATGCTTCATCCCTGGAGGTGCTCAAGCCAAGGCTGGACAGAGCCTTGGGTGAGATGGTTTAGTGTGAGGTGTCCCTTCCCATGACAGGGGGGGTGAAACTGAAAGAGCTTAAGGTCCTTTCCAACACTAAGTATTCTATGATTCTATGATTCTACTTATCACTAGTTCATTCAGAACTCAGGAATCACCTGCTCTATTCTGCCACTCTAAACCCAGCTCTGCTGCTCTTCCTCCATGCACCTGCAGAACAATCTCAGTCATTCTTGAACTTTATCAAGTGAGCTCTTCTGAGCATCCCAGTTTGGCACAGAGACTCTGCCAAACTCTGGCATTGCCAAACTGCTCTTGCCGCCTGCCAGCTGCTGCCAGTGTGTCATTCTCAGGCCACCTCATGGTCCTGGTACCACAATTTGGCTGCCTCTGCTGTGTGGCAGCTTATCCACCTGCTGACTTTGCACTACATGCTACTACAAAGGTGCCTGCTGGCATCCACTTCAAAAAGTAAGATTTCCCTACGTTAATCATGTCACCTCCTTACTTAGGATTTCATTCTGGGCTAATCTAAACCCCAATGGACTCAAATAGATACTCTTCTAGAGATACCATTAGACTTTGAATGGGCCCCTTCAGCTGCGTAGTGCCTTACTGTTTGATTTCTTAACACTGAAACATTCGCTACCACTGAAAACTGGAATGACTGAAAGACTGAAATGCAACTTTGCTGCCAAAGATCTGTGTAACTGAGGAAAGTAACCCTTTGGGACTTTCTAGGAGACCTGGGCAGCTCAACCCAGGACCAAGCACAAAGCATGCCTGTAGCTCAGAAGGCTGTCTTTGCCATAGTACAGAACCTTGCAAACTTTATCACAAAGAGTAAACATCTTTATCTAAAGTGTAAAAGTTGCAATAAACTTGAAAATCCATGTCAAAACTGATTTCAAAATACAAAGAGGTTTCTAAAAGAAACATACGAAGAATTAAATCTCTAATGCTTATAGTCAAAATTACTTTATTTTCTGATGCGTGTCTTTCTATTCTCCTCTCAGGAGAAAA